GACCACGAAGACATGGATATCGTGTTACCCGATTACCCTAAAAAGGCACGAGCCCAAGGTCTGAACGGAACAGCACAGATTGCCATCTTCACAGCTCTGATGACCGCATCAAATTTCGAACACGCCTACAGGCAATTCGTTAACCTGAAACTCAAGAAGGACGATCAGCTGGCTCTTGCCGCTGTGTTAGTTCAATGTGTAGGCAGCGAGATGCAGTACAATCCCTACTATGCTCTTGTGGGAGGAAAGGCATGCCTGCTCAACAGCAGAATTAGATTCGCCATTCAGGATCGACTGTGGAAGATTTTTAGGAGTCTTGGAGAATCTATGTTCGGAGAAGCCCCTGAAGAAGATGAGACGGCCGACGCTGAACGTATGAAAGATGAGAGGCGGATCACCAACGTGGCCAAATTCTACGCAGCCCTTGTTGCAGATGGCACATTAACCATCGCCATCCTCAAACCCTTGGAATTACCCGAGGCAAACCACTGGGCGTCAACGTTTGTGCAATTATTCATCATTGCTCTTCTGAAGGAATGCCGTACTAAGAGTAAAAGTTCCGAGGAGAACATTAAACTGGAGAAGATCTTTGGTGCAGCACGAGAGTTGCCGGGCTTAGCTGCTGGAGTCCATTGGATGCTGCGCAAGAAGATCCGGAAGACGAAGTTGATCAATGCTAAAGAGTTAAAGAAGCTGGAGGGCGTTTGCGAGAAGGCACAGATTATTGTACGGCCTGCAGCAATAGAGATCTAGGACAGGAATTTAAAACAGTTCCCGGAGAAGAATGCCTGGTGAATAGACTAATGGTCATAGAAATACCCGGGCCTCGGGGTATTAGAAAATTGGCTGCTGGAAGCATACGAGACGAAATTAGTAGGTCAGCTTATGCTCCTTAGACCAAAGTTTTAGACTATTTATTTTTATACCCTCAGACTTAGGAGGCCAACTTGTCTGCTAACCCATTAGCTGGGGGTAATAATGCTATCAAGTCTTTCGAATAGCCTCTGCCCCAACCCATGACGACTATGCTTTGTATTGTGAATCATTTCGGCGAGTCGGTGATTTGCTCCGGGTCAAGTCTTATCTTTCGTGACGTCGGCATCTCAAAGGCAATTGACGTCCGGAACGGGTAGGAACGGGACACGCCGGGATCTCGGAGGTCTATTTAGAAGACGGACGGTGCGATGTTGGGGGCGATTTGTACTCTTAGGGGAGTATTTCACAGTTGGTTGAGACGATGTGCCCGAATTGCCAGGCATGAACTAGCATGAACCGTGGTTCTAGAAGTTGGCAAGGACGTGTACTATTTGTGATCCGGAGATATATTTCCAGAAGGGATGCCCAGTAAAACACCTACCAGGCAACGCTGCAGGTGAAGGCCACCCAGGACGCTACGCGTGTGGCTCCCTCACCGAGAAGAAAGCCAATCGTGTCAAGGTATCGGGCGACCCTCAGGGAAAAAATTACCTGATAAACCCGGGTTATAGTGTTGTATGGGGCAGGCGGGCGAGTCTTTGCCGAGAGGCCCTGTCCGATGCTTCTGTTGATGTGCTGTAGACGATAATTGCCCTGTGCTCTAGGTTATTTTAGTCTTGAGACGGGCGAGCTTTGTTGCGGTAACGTACCGCCTCAACCTCAACCTCACCCTTGCCTCTCGTTGACTTTTTCTACCTCGTCCTCCCCTTCCACTCTCCACAATCTGTGTGTCCCCAATTGCACTTCCACACAACCCCCATCATGCTTTCCAGTCGCTTAATATCACGAGCTATTGCTCGCCCTGCCTTCCAGAGATCTACGTAAGTTTATTGCAATGCGCTTTGCGACAGTCGATCTGGAGAACTGCTTTACATTCAGCCCGATTCTGTTGGATCCAGCCAGTCCGTTATCAACGAAAAAAAAAATGGCTCGTTAACTGACACTCCGTTTTCTTGTTTCCTAGGCTTCCCAGCGTCGTCGCTTCCCCTTCGCTGTCGCGATGGAGCCGCGGATATGCCTCTGCAGCTGGTATGTTACCTCCGAGCTCGTCGGAGCACAACCCCGTACAATCCGCTGACTCAAATTTGATATATAGAGGAGAAGGATCTCGTTGTTATCGGTGGCGGCGTTGCTGGCTATGTTGCCGCTATCAAGGCTGGACAAGAGGGCATGAAGGTTTGTTTCACTACCCCCAAATCTGTAATTCAGGAATAGGCTTCATGTGCGGTTTTGGCTGACAAGATCTTTCACGAATACAGGTTACCTGCATTGAAAAGCGTGGCTCCCTCGGCGGTACCTGCTTGAACGTCGGTTGCATTCCTTCAAAGTCTCTTCTCAACAACTCGCATCTCTACCACCAGATTCTCCACGACACCAAGCACCGCGGTATCGAGGTTGGTGACGTTAAACTTAACTTGGCCAACTTCATGAAGGCCAAGGAGACTTCTGTCTCTGGTCTTACCAAGGGTATCGAATACCTCTTCAAGAAGAATGGAGTTGAGTACATCAAGGGTGCTGGTTCTTTTGTCAACGAACACGAGGTCAAGGTTGACCTCAACGAGGGCGGTGAAACCAGTGTTCGTGGTAAGAACATTCTGATTGCTACTGGATCTGAGGCCACACCTTTCCCTGGTCTTGAGATCGACGAGAAGCGCGTTATTACCAGCACTGGTGCTATTGCCCTCGAGGAGGTCCCCGAGACCATGACCGTCATTGGTGGTGGTATTATCGGTCTCGAGATGGCTTCCGTTTGGTCGCGACTCGGATCCAAGGTCACTATTGTTGAGTTCCTCGGCCAAATTGGTGGCCCCGGTATGGACTCTGAGATCGCCAAGAACACTCAGAAGATACTCAAGAAGCAGGGTCTCGAGTTCAAGCTCAACACCAAGGTCGTTGGCGGTGACAAGTCCGGTGACAAGGTCAAGCTCGAGATTGACTCCGCCAAGGGTGGCAAGGCCGAGTCTGTATGTGTATGATTCTCTGACCTTTGCAACTGGCACTAACAAATTTACAGATCGAGTCTGACGTTGTCCTCGTTGCCATTGGCCGACGACCCTACACCGCTGGCCTCGGCCTCGAGAATATTGGCCTCGAGGCTGACGACCGTGGCCGTGTCGTGATCGACTCCGAGTACCGAACCAAGATCCCCCACATCCGATGTGTTGGCGACTGCACATTTGGTCCTATGCTTGCCCACAAGGCTGAGGAGGAGGCCGTTGCTGTCGTTGAGTACATCAAGAAGGGATACGGCCACGTCAACTATGGCGCCATTCCTTCAGTCATGTACACCCACCCTGAGGTTGCCTGGGTTGGTCAGAGCGAGCAGGACCTCAAGAACCAGAACATCCCTTACCGAGTCGGAAGCTTCCCTTTCGCCGCCAACTCCCGAGCTAAGACTAACCTTGACACTGAGGGCATGGTTAAGATGCTTGCTGATCCCGAGACGGACCGTATTCTCGGAGTCCACATCATCGGCCCTAACGCTGGTGAAATGATTGCTGAGGGTACTCTGGCCCTTGAATACGGTGCTTCTAGCGAGGACATTGCCCGAACTTGCCACGCCCACCCCACACTCGCTGAGGCTTTCAAGGAGGCTGCCATGGCCACTCACGCCAAGGCCATCCACTACTAAGCAATGCTTGAGCAGTCGAGATCAGTTAGATAGGTCGCTGCGCGCTAACCGCTTCATATGTGTCGGTTCGGCAGCAACAGGTCTCGTCTGTGCTTCTTGCGGCGAGGAACAGACACTCCTTACGACACAGACTTGAAAAGAGTGTCTGTAGTCGCTAAGAACATACCTAAAATATCACACAGTGTCACCAGGAGGCCTCGCAAGGATAGTGCGAACGGGATAGAGCCCGGGGCGTCTCGGACTCTGGGTAGTGTAAACTAGTAATTATTTCTTTCTTCAAGCATGATGAATGGAAACTATACGGCAAGATGCGTGGCGTGCGCTCGAATGTTATTAGTTGAGTCTCGAGTGGGTGAAGAGCAAACAATGATAGAATTGTAACTACATCTGTTCATAAATTCTGGGGTGGTACTCTTCAGGAATGAACCTTGGAAAGAACAAGCTTATGTGATTATTATCGTGAGAACTGTTAAATGTGGTTAAAGCCACTTCGATCGGAGAGACGTCTTCTAGCAGCAAGGAGTTCGAATACGAATTCGAAAGTAGACTCACCTCATAGACGAGCACGCTAAGACGCAAATCGATGTAGGGAATTTGCCAGGTTGTTACAGCATTCCTTGAGTGAGGGTTCTCAACATCAGTTCACTTTCGATCAGGGCTCTTTTTTCACCTTTTCAGTTTTTCTCCTCCATTGGGTGGCTGCACACGGTTGGCATTAGAGCTGTAAGTAAAAGGCTCAACTGGTGCTGACCCTGACAGGTATTCCTTCTGCCTCTTGCGCATTAACCAAGGATGAGTTTATGGGTCGATTAGAGTATACTGTCTTAGTTCTACATGGCTCATAACAACTTATACGATGATACGTGCAGTAGAGCTCTGCTTGAAACCTCCTCTAGTACTGTTGAACCTTAGTAGGGACAACGCCTTTTGTAACGCAGCTGCAACAGTCCACACCTACCTCCTAACCTATATCCTAGATAAATAGTGGCGGGGTAGATCAAAGCCCCGAGCACCGGGCCCGCATTGCGCCCCGCCATTATGGTAGAAGATCGAGCCATATTTTTGGAGTTCCATAAGAAGTATCCATGCATCCATGCCACCAGCTGCATTCCCGATTCCCCAACTCCACCACTGCTCGTCTCATAAAGCAGCACACAGTCCTTTGAAAGACCCTTTACAAGATGCGGTGAATTGAATTGGATTTGATTCGTCCTTGAGTCTTTACTAATTCATCTACTTAACCCTTTAGACTTTTCTAATCTGAACCGATACTGTTTCCTTTGCTGGACTTCCTCCTGACCCTGGGCAACTTTGCTGTGCAGTCTCAACAGTCTTTTTTTTTTGTCTGTTGACTGTTTGTGGTTTTCACTTCTTCTGGCATCGAACCATCACTATGGCGCATATCTCTGTTGTTACGGGCCTACCACCCACGCCTGGCAATGCGTCGGAAAGAACACCAAAGCTCATGTCTCGAGATGATGTAGAGGCTCTGATTGCCGAAGGCAAGCATGTCACTGTCTTTCACAACCAAGTAATCAAGATGGATGCCTGGATGCCATACCATCCAGGTGGTGATAAGGCCATGCTTCACCTCGTCGGTAAAGACGCCTCGGACGAAATCGATGCGTAAGTTGGCTCCAGCAAACGGACGAACACGTGGACAATACTAACTGCGCTTATACAGCCTTCACAGTTACGAAACCCGCCAGCACGTATTGCGCTATCGTATAGGTCGAGTCGAAGGTACCTGGGAGAACTTGCTACCCCCTATCCAAGGCGGCGTCTATCGTACACGTAAAGAGATCGAGCGAGTCAATTTGGAGGGCGGTTTCAACAAGGATCAAGACTCAAGTGTGCCATCGACTCGTGTTCCATCCCCGGTATTCGACGAGGAAGGTGCAGAAGGCGTTCGGCAGAGAAAGGGGGATAATAAGAAAAAGGACGGGGCTCGAGCACCTTCGGTATCATCTGCCTCTAGTTTGGATGAGCCTGAAATGGATGGCATGTCGTACCTGGATACAATCACTCGCCAACATATCAACCTCGATCTCGACAAATACCCTCCTCCTGACAAAGAGACACAAGCTAGAATCGCTGCCAAATATCGCGAGCTTCACCAAAAAGTTTACGATACTGGGCTTTACGACTGTAACTACAAAGCTTATGGAATCGAATTCCTTCGCTATATCGCATTGGCTATCGGCTCAGCGGTCTGTTTGCACTATGAGTGGTATGCCACCAGTGCTTTCTTATTAGGCGCCCTTTGGCATCAACTGTCGTTCACTGTTCATGATGCTGGCCATATGGGTATCACCCATAACTACCTCATCGACTCTTGCATTGGAGCTCTTATTGCCGACTTCATGGGAGGTCTGTCAATAGGTTGGTGGAAGCGTAATCACAACGTGCATCATGTTGTTACTAACGCCCCGGAACATGACCCTGATATTGAGCACATGCCTCTTTTCGCCGTTTCCCACCGTCTGCTTGGCAGCCTGAGATCGACATACTACGAACGAGTAATGTACTACGATGCTGTGGCTAAGGTTCTCCTAAGAATTCAGGCCTGGACCTACTACCCCCTGCTTTCTCTTGCCCGTTTCAACCTCTACCGACTATCTTGGGACTTTCTTCTCATGGGTCGAGGTCCCAAGAAGGGTCCTGCGCTGGCTATTTGGTGGCTTGAGATCACCGGACAGGTCTTCTTTTGGACATGGTTCGGTTATGGCCTCGTCTACAACATGCTTCCAGACAACTGGACTCGGTTCTACTTTGTCATGATAAGCAACATTACTGCGTCACCCCTGCATGTTCAGATTGTGCTGTCTCATTTCGCGATGAGCACTGTTGAGTTGGGGCCTCAGGAGTCCTTCCCTCAGAGACAGCTTCGAACGACCATGGACATCGATTGCCCCGAGTGGCTTGATTTCTTCCATGGCGGCCTGCAGTTCCAAGTCATTCATCATCTCTTTCCCCGCGTGCCTCGTCATAACCTGCGTGCTACACAGAAACTCGTTCAGGAGTTCTGTAACGAAGTCAACATCCCTTACGCGCTTTACGGGTTCGCCAACGGTAACCAGCAAGTGATTGGAAGACTGGCCGAGGTTTCCCGACAAGCGGCCATTCTTTCCAAATGCCAGCAATCAATTCAGAATGGTGATCTTTCTCACCACTAGACACAACATGGTAAACGAGCATTTTCCCTGTTGAATATACCTGGACTCTTCCACGCCTGCAATGTCCTTACATGTCCTCACATGTCCTAGATAGAATAAGTCTAGAGCCTACCGATGCTAGATAGATTGATGAGTCAATGAACAGCTTCGTATTGCCATGCCTGTCAGTGATCGTGATTCTGTCTCAGATGTTGAGGTGCATTACTGCCATAAAGCGTGATTTTAGCCTAGCTTGGAAGAAAGCTTTGAACTACACGAGACATTTCATGTGCAGGTCTTAGTCCAGAAACTTATAAAGTCCGGAGTCGTGAGACTTGAGTGTGAGACGTGCCTTGCTTGTACGATTTACAGTATGACCGACGGGCATCGGGTTTCTTGCTGGGCCATCTTGAATTCCAGGTTCAGCAATCATGATTGTGCAAAACGTAGCGTGTCTCTCTCCATCGCTTTGGAGTCTGCCTTATCTATTGTGACATTGGCAGGCTGGTTATGAATATCAACATTGACCACATGAACCGGGCTTGCCGCCTATCACATGGGCCAGCAGTGGCAGTTGAGTGACGTCGATATGTTGCACGAGGTATGGTGATGATGAGGGGCCAAGGGTATGAAAGCTGTTTATTTGTGGGCGCGCATGGAATTCGAGAAGGACATTTCATCTGTGCATATTCTCGAAATGGCATTGTTTTGTGATGAAATACAAAAGTGTCTAGAAAGGCAGCTGTCTCTAGGTAGGTACTAACCTGACTGACCTTGGACGCTTTCGTACGAGTACAAGGTCCTGGAGTGGGAGTCACTCACTCGTGGGGCATTAGTGGGGGGTTGGTCTCTTTCCTCCTTCCCTGCTCAAGTTACCTGTACAGTGCGTGCTAGTCAGATCCCCCTGCTCCATCTCAAACGAACCAACCACAACCACTTGGAACCTAATTCCCACGACGACGACGACGACGACGGCATTCAAACTAACCCTTCCTTCTCATCGCACATCTCCTGATACAAATCAACCTTCATTCTAGGCTATATCCTGAGCACCACCATTCAGAGCTTACCTCGTCGCGTCCAGCGGACGATGTAAATGAACCGCAGCTATGGATGCCAACATCCAGCGGGCCCTCAACGATAAGCTCTACGACAAACGCAAGATTGGGGCTCTTGAGTATGTCTCACTTCTCATATGCCGTATATTGATAAACTTGAAGCTCGGTCGAGGTCGCCCCTCAGGCCGATGACTTACCGCATTGCGTCTTCCCTCTTGGCGCTTCAGCTGTTGACATTGGCTTCATAGGCTTGAACGTGTGATCCGAGATTTCGTTAGCGTTAAGGACTATCAACGCGTTCACGACATTCTCGAACAGCTATGTAATGAGTACGCCTACGCTGTGCACCAACCTCATGCAAGAAATGGTGGTTTAATAGGTCTGGCTGCCGCCGCTATTGCTCTAGGCCCAGTAAGTTTAACTTTTTCAGGAACTCACCCATTCAAAGGCATATGAGAAGAGAAGCCTATCTAAATAGATTCTTGGCGACCTATGCCCCTCATCAAATTGTTTCTGATATTTGTGTTAGGAACTGCCTAGGTACCTTGCCAAAATCGTCCCTCCTGTCCTGGCATGCTTCACCGATCAAGATGCCAGGGTCAGATATTATGCCTGTGAGGCCATGTATAACATAGCAAAGGTTGCGAAAGGAGAGATCTTGGTGTATTTCAATAGCATCTTCGATCAGCTTTGCAAGGTATGTTTTAACCATGGGTCTCGAATGCCAAACATGGCAGAGGTTACTAACTATTTGACCTCTTTAGCTTGGTGCGGACTCAGAGTTATCAGTCAAGAATGGAGCGGAGCTGCTAGACCGGCTCGTCAAAGATATCGTGTCTGAGTCTGCCGCTTCCTATGTATCCATTCTTGAGGCACCGCCGGAGTTTGATGGTGACGACAAGGTTTCATTTGGAGAGACTTCACACTTACCTACAGCCTTTTCTCTACCTCGATTTATTCCATTGCTGAAAGAGCGCATATGGGTTATTAACCCCTTCACTCGTCAGTTTCTTGTCGGCTGGATTACCTTGCTTGACTCAATACCGGACCTGGAGCTGGTCACATATTTGCCAGACTTTCTTGGAGGGCTTCTTAAATTTCTGTCGGATCAGAATTCAGATGTACGAGTCGCTACGCAGAACTGCTTGGACAAATTTCTCAACGAGATCAAGCGCATCGCTCGCATCAAGAAGGGAATATTGGAAAGCAAACGATCCAAAGAAGGTGCCAAGCGAAAACGTCAAGATTCTATTGACAGTGAATCTATAAATCCAGACTTTGAGGAAGGAGATGAGCTTGACTCCGACGCTGCGCTCGACGATGACGACGATAGCAGTGGGGAAGACTGGATTCCTGGCCAGGATGTCGAGATTAACTACAAAGAAATCCTCCAAATTCTGACTGCAACGCTGGATTCACCACTAGGTTCGTCACTCTATAATCTGTTTTTCCCATGGCTAACATTTGTCAGAGGAGGACTGTCTCCTTGAGTCTTTGCGATGGGTTGTAGAATTCCTCGATATCTGTCCCGAAGAAGTTCTTCCTTTCACTCCCAAAATCCTTGCTCATATGCTTCCAGCTATGGCCAGTACCAAGGAGACTATCCACCAAGCAGCGACTCGAGTCAACACGTGTCTAATGGACTATGTTGTTTCCCTGTCTGATGACTCCGAATTGACTCAGCCGCCTCCCGCACAACCGCTTCAGAACTTTTCGACTTCTCGACTACCAGTCCCTGGAGAGAAAGGAGCTGATGGTGTGAACAGCAATCGGGCATCACTGTCGAGTTCCAGGGATTTGGACCTCCGTAGTCCTACACCTGCTCAAGGTCGCTCAATATCGACACCGGCTGACATCAACATCACTCAAACACAAGCTGATCTGGACTACGCCGCAGCTGTCAACTCTCTGACACTTCTCTTCCTCAACGATCATGAAGCTACCCGGGTGGCAGCCCTGACGTGGCTTATTATGTTGCACAGGAAAGCTCCTCGAAAGGTACTTGCTTTTAACGACGGCACGTTCCCGGCGCTGTTGAAGACGCTATCGGATCCATCAGACGCTGTTGTAACCAAGGACTTGCAGCTTCTTTCTCAAATCTCCCGGAATACAGAAGATGATTATTTTGCCAATTTTATGGTTAATTTGCTGCAACTCTTCTCAACAGACAGGAAGTTGCTTGAAACACGAGGCAATCTTATTATCCGACAGCTTTGTTTGAGCCTGAGTCCCGAGAGAATCTACAGGACGTTGGCCGATTGCATCGAGAAGGAGGAAGACGTCGAGTTTGCCAGTATAATGGTACAAAATCTCAATAACAACCTCATCACTGCTCCTCAGCTAGCTGATGTTCGGAAAAGGTTGCGAAACCTTGAAACCAGGGTATGTGGGAACGCACAAAATATTGTCAAGCCTGGGAAGTGTTAACATATTCTAGGACGGTCAAACACTATTTGTAGCACTATTTCGATCGTGGTGCTATAACGCTGTGGCTACCTTTTCACTCTGTCTGCTCGCTCAAGCTTATGAGCAAGCATACAACCTGTTGCAGATCTTGTAAGTCCTGTAAAGACCTCAACATATCCCGACTAACAACTGTGACTCAGTGGCGAGTTGGATATGACGGTCAATATGCTCATCCAGGTCGATAAGCTGGTGCAATTGATTGAGTCACCCGTTTTCACATGTGAGATTTCAGCACATCCAAGATTCAAATTGCTTAAGCTGACTGATGACTTAGACCTACGCCTACAGTTGCTAGAGCCCGAGAAGTATCCATATCTATATAAATGCATGTACGGTATCCTGATGCTCTTGCCACAATCTTCGGCGTTTGCTGCCCTTAAAAACCGACTCAACAGCGTCAGCTCCATAGGATATCTACATACAGCACCTCGAACGTGAGTTTCCCAAATTTTTCCGTGGCGTTAGTGATTAAGGAATATTTCTTATTTCTTGAACTTCGTCTCCATCCTTCCTATCATAACCATATTCACACTCCAATAGGGCCGCCGCAACTACGAGCAGCTCCAACTTTGACAGGCCAAATCGACTCAAGAGTAGAGAAGAAGGAAACATACGTTGGGTTGAGCTCCTGGAGAAATTCAGAAGCGTCCAAGAACGAGCGCGGCGTGCGCAGCGTCAAAACATCGACGGTGACGAGATGCCGCCAATGGGAGTCAGTGAGCTTCGTATTGGCGATGGAGCTGTAGATATCAAGGGCAAGGAGACGCGTGGTGTTGGACTACAACCAGTTCCCCAGAAGGAGCCAGTGCCCGCTCCTCCAGTACCAGCGAAGAGGATAGGTTTAGGCCGACAGTTTGGACGATTGGGGGGCGCTGTGGCAGGTAAAGGCCGACGCAACCAATAGACATTGCACGAAAGTTGGATCATCGTTGCTCTGCCTGGTAGTCAATTTGCGACTCGGGGCACTTGACGGCGTTTGTATGCCATTAATGTATAGTATCAAGCAAAAGATTAATGGAGACATTGTCAACGTCGTCGCTTAACCGGACTCTCACGTTCCACTAAACCTTCGAAGATAGCATCACGCTGTGATTCTATGGAACGAAGCTCCTGTCGGAGCTCGTCTAGTTCTGCTCTCGCCATATCTGGATTGCTTGGTAGCCCCTGAAAGGAGGCTAGCTGGAGGTCAAGCTCCTTCTTCCGTGCTACAACGGACAAATATTCTTGCTCATCACGAGCGAGGTCGGCAACAGTAGGATGTGAAGAATGCGAAGATGCAGTAAGCGAAGCAACTTTGTCTTGAAGCTCAGGCAGTTTGGTTGATAGTGCCTTGATCTTGCGTTGCATGTCAAGGTTTTGTTTGGCTAGATGCGCTGGAGGCTGATATTCTTCGCTTTTTACGTTCTCGAGAATATCATTTATACGGGCTGCTTCATCATCAATGTGCTTGTGCAGGACCTCGACACGATCCTTCATTTGTTCGGCGTCGTGTATACTCGATTGCAGTTGAATCATGCGCTGACCTAATGCCTCGGGTTCTGGAAAGGCGATACTGAACTGAAGGGCTACACTTGCCATAGCGTCAAGAGCTGTGTGTCCATCAACAGGCAAGTTATGCTGCACAGCTTCAATCAAGCCTTCTCTCAACAGTCGGCTCTTGTTCTCGGCATTGGCTTCGGAGTCGGTGAGCTCCTGCAAAGCAGCAGCCTCGGCTTTTGCGACTAAGTTACGTTCCTCATCGGCAGCTTCGTTGGCAGATGCTAGGGCAAGGAGAGCCTTGAGCGTATCGTTATTGCGCTCGAAAGAAGGGACCGGGCGAGGGTGGAATTTTGAAGAGAGCCAGGCGTCGATATATGACCAGTCGCGGGCGGTAGATGCAGCAATGCGAGCGACTGAAGGCGAGAAGATGGCCGAATCTTCACTAAGGAGGCGATGGTGCGCCATGGTGAGATGCGCCAGGCAGAAGTGAGGAATTCGTATTGCTTGTCTCGACCTACTAAGGGGTGCACTGGAGTTGTATGTAAATAGAACTGAGATGGGGTCGAGACTGGGCTCGAAACAATGGATGACGCCACAGCACAGCACAGCAAGCCCCAAGCACCTGAAAGCAACAGTCGTCTGGCCGGGACTGACTGGCAGGTAGGTACCTAACTGCTATAGAACTGGTATAGGCTAATCAACAGGGTGCGCACCCCTGCTGCCCTGCAATCAACTACAGGTACAAGACCTACGATTCGGCGTCTGAAAGCACTAAATTTATAGCGCCCGCCGCTAGTTCCTACAGCAGGAACCTTGACGGCGCCTGGAATTGCCGAGTACCTGCTAGGCGAGAACTTGTGGCCACCTATTGTATTCGGGAGCCAGTTGTGTACCTGATTGATAGACGTCGACTTTCCCTGTTAAGTCAAACGGACCGTGGACGCCTTCCCCGGCTGAACTCTTTATGATCAAGTTGTCCTTTTTTGCCCTCGACAATTATCTCCCTTCTTTCCCTTCTTTCCCTTCTTTCCCTTCTTTCCCTTCTTTCCCTTCCATATATCCTCTCGCTAAACAAACTTGTCCGGGATTAGTCCTGCCCGTCGTCGTCGTGACTCGCCGCCGACTATTGCAACTGTCAAAGTTAATGTATCACCAATAGATATCATTCAGCTACGACTTGCCCCACGAACGACTACTCGTGTACTTCGAATCGAACAACTCCTCGAAATGCATCTCAACATTGCTGCTCTCGCAGTCGCTGCCACAACCTTGCTCGCTTCGGCCAACGCCCTATCGCCCCAGGATATCCCAGCCGATCTTCCTGTCGCGCAGCTCCTTACGTCGGCGCAGTCGCATTTGTCTCGTGGCGAAACCAACGAGGCTCTTGTCTACTATGATGCGGCTATCGCTCGCGATCCTACCAACTACCTGACTATCTTTAAGAGGGCCACCACGTACCTCTCCTTGGGCCGAACCTCGCAGGCAACCGACGATTTCAATAAGGTACTGTCGCTCAAGCCTGGCTTCGAGGGCGCGCATCTTCAACTCGCTAGATTGCGCGCTAAAGCAGGAGACTGGGGCGTTGCAAAGACGCAGTATGGTCTTGCTGGGAAGACTTCTAGCTCTGCTGAGGTCGTAGAGCTTGAAGAAGCCAAGCTGGCGGCGAACCTGGCTGAGATGGCTGGGAAGGGAGAGAAATGGGATGAATGTATCAGCCATGCTGGTACAGCCATTGCCGTTGCCAGTCGATCCCCCCATTTGCGTGAACTTCGAGCGCACTGTCGCTTCGAGCTTGGCGATGTTGAAGTGGGCATGAGCGACCTACAACATGTGCTTCATATGAAGCCTGGAGACACAAGCCCACATATCGTCATCTCCGCTACCTCGTTCTATGCATTGGGTGATATGGAAAATGGTATCGGGCAGGTCAAGAAGTGCCTCCAGTCTGACCCAGATTCCAAGGTCTGCAAGAAGTTACATAAACAGGAGAAGAAGGTAGAGAAGGCATACAAGAAGATACAAGGGCAACTCAGCCGATCCCAGCCTACCACAGCAGGAAGGGCATTGGTTGGTACCGCTGACGAACCTGGCCTGGTCCCTGATGTTCAACAGCAGGTGAAGGAATTGAAGGAGAACAAGAGCATCCCCAAAAATGCCCGTATTCAGCTGCTGGAAAGCTTAGTCGAGCTCACATGCCAAGCATATACGGAGGTAATATTCTCATCTATGTCCCTTCCCCCAGTATCACTAACAATTATTAGTCAAGCCACAAAGACGCTGCCAAGTACTGCGACGAGTCGTTACAGATGAACCCCGACTCTTTTTGGGGTCTTCTCCACGAGGGCAAGGCTCAGTTGAAGAGTGAGCTATATGATGCCGCCATTGCTACTCTACAGAAGGCGGCTGAGCTTCGTCCTGATCAGAAGGAAAAGGTCGACCCTATTCTCAACAAGGCTCATATTGCTCTAAAGCGTAGCAAGACGAAGGACTACTACAAAGTCCTCGGTGTCGAGCACGACGCCGACGAACGCCAGATAAAGTCTGCCTACCGCAAACAATCCAAGAAATTCCACCCCGACAAGGCTGCCCAGCAAGGTATTTCCAAGGAGGATGCTGAGAAGAAGATGGCCAGCATCAACGAAGCATACGAAGTCCTCAGCGACCCTGAATTGCGAGCGCGTTTCGACAACGGCGATGATCCTAATTCGCAGGAAGGACCCAGGAACCCTTTTCAGCAAGGTAACCCCTTCGGCGGTGGTGGTGGACACCCTTTCATGTTCCAACAAGGTGGCGGTGGCCCGAACATCAAGTTCCAGTTTGGAGGTCAACAGTTCGGCTTTTGAAAAGTGTAATCAACGAGTATCTGATTTATCGCAAATGAAGACTCCCACCGAAGAGAGTACTTACAGCTGGGGGTTTCAATTCAGGAGCAAATTATTTAGGTTAGCAGAGGGCATCGGCTTTCGAGTCGTGACTAGATATCGAGAAGTCACTTCTCTCTTGCTTCGGATTACTTGGTGTTCAAGGCGCGGGGAGTTATAGCCGTTCCTTTTCGTAGCTTGGTTATATAGATATTTATACGCACAATGGAAGGAACACCAATATCTTGATAACTTTTCGCGTTTGGCAGTTTTCTATGTCTCAGATCGGCTAGAGTCAGATACGTATCCTATATTGTCGGACCATTTTTAAGAGGATATACAAGAACCTCACTACACACACCCCAGATGAAGGAGAGATACACAGCCACGACATCTCAACAATAAACAGAGAAACACCGTCACTTATAAGACAAAGCATTGCGGCAATTGGTAATGTAACAGCTTTTGGAACGAACTTCAGCACCAGGAATGATCGCCCAAAACGCCAGCGCCAGCCAAAGACCCATACAAGACCGAGGCATGTATATATGCTAGTATCTTGACATAAACATTCAACTGGCAAAACTATCATGACACACACCACACCGTCTATCTGCAAATAAACACCAGCACCCCTTTACCCTTTTTCGATCCTTTGTCGCCGCTCCTGTCCGTTTTGTTCGTAAGAAATGGTGTTTCGTTATGTACACGATCCGCTGCTGAGTGCCCAGAGAATCACCTAGCCCTACCAATTGGAAAAGGCTGTGGTGATCTACAAAGCCAGTAGACATTCTTGATTATAAGAATGTGAACCGGGTCAGGCAAGCGCCGAATCACAAGGTACTTGTACTGAGGTGGGTGAGTCTCGCGTGTGTAGTCGTCCTCATCCCCATGATTTCGAGGGTTTCCCTTCGTTATCTTTACTTTCGAATCTATTCTCTTCAATGAACTGAACCGCCATGCTTCAATAATGGGGTTGCTTTCACCACTTGCTCAAGAATTGGTTGTCTTTGGTGACTGTCGAATTAAGATGTTCAGGCAGCGTCATTCCGCTTGATGAAGTAGGACCTAGTAAAGTATTTTAGTTAGCTTCGCCCAAGGCAATAGAACGTATGTAACGTACTTTGAAAATTCGTATGCCGACCAGCAGATAGCTGTGCTGGGCATAGTAGTCACAATGCGAGGTCGCACACCCTTGAAGAAGCCCGAGACGCCAGCTCTTTGGTAAAGCAGCCGGCATCCGCCAATAAAGCTGTTCACATTTCTCACTTGGGGATCGGTGGACGTTCCACGTGTTTGAAGCATCGTCTTAATAACATCCATGGGGGTTGTAAGACCAGCCGCAAATCCACCAGCAACAGCGCCCGCCAAGCAGTGTGTCATTGGGTCATAGGTCTTTGCGGGGTTCATCGTGGTAGAAATGGACTCGTAGGCGAGAAACTGAAGGGCAGTGAAAGGCACTGTCATAGACAGTGTCGTAGGGTAAGAGATGTAGAAAGCCCCCAAACCCTCAGATCTGTAGACGTACTTGGCGCAGTCAAACATAGATCTGTACATCTTGCTCGAATTTTGAATTTGCATACGCTGCTTGATAACTGGAGTGAATGTCAGCGAACACATCCTTGGCATCGCGAAGGATGCAGGATAGCCATACCATCGAAGGGGTTCATGAAAGCGTCACTGGCAATAGTAGCGGCAGCACCACTGGTAGCTGAAGAGGTTCAGAGTTAGCAAAGGAATTCAGGGGATGGCGATGCAAGTTGCAATTACCAGCAGCGAGAGGGTGGTGAACACCAGCTTGGTTACCACCCATGGCATGCTTAACTGCTTCGTAAGTCGCAAAGTAAACGGCATGTGCAGGTCCTGGGCAACATTAGCGATTATGCAAGATTGGTCAAGCTAGCTCGAACCCTAGCATGACGTGGTAGACTCACCTGCGCCAACGATGACACTAGACATTCCGCGCCATAAGCTGAAGAAACCCTCGGTCTGGGCGATTTGAACAGTGTTGCGAATGACTCCCGAGTAGGCGGGTGTGGTGCTGGGGTTCAGAATCTGCATTCTCGTCTTGGAGCGTGTCAGACTATGGACAATTGTAGATGATGACGAAAAGACAAAACGAACCTTGATCGCATCGATGGGATACATGGCAGTGTGCTCCTATAGAAACATACAAAATTAGCCACGGGTGTTGCGAGATGCCCGATCAAGTGAAGCATACTGCTATACCAGCAAAGGCGCCTGCGGCCATATTCTGCAACAATGAGAAGTTGGGCGGCAGAGATTCATAGCTGCGTAGAAAATGATTAATTCCATGCTTCAAGTAGTTGATTATATGCAGAATATCAAATGATACTCACTCGTATTCCTCGACTGGCTCTGCACTTGGCTGGGCCATGGCGGCCACAGCTTCCGATGCTCCGCCGAAGGGCTTGGTCTCGAGGGCCGCCAGATTGGCGACTGGAGGGGATATCGGGGTGATTGGGTTGTAAAGTCGACGGCGATCGATTCGTGACAGGTGTCGAGTCGGCTACGGGGCTATGAGGGAACGGAGATTTCGGGTTTTTTTTTCTTCAAGTTTGTTGCGTTGCGCCCACGGGTGGTCGCTGCGGACGAAAACGATGACGATGTCGACGTTTGAGTTGATGCTCAAGATAACAAAGAAAGGCCTAAGGGGAAAATGCGGCTTTCAATTGTCCGAGCCGAAAGTGCCGCGCAAACTCGTCGATATGTCCGGACCTTTCTTCCTTTCCCAGACCTACTCGGTCTATTCGAACAGGCCAATCGATCAATAATCTGACTCCGGTTGGTGGTTATAAAGAGCAAGAAAGAAATGCACAGGCAAAGCGGAGGCGATGGAGCAAAAAAGTAGTTCGATGTTGGCGTCTTGTGCTAGTCTGACTTGACGGGAAAAACTCCAGGTCAGGTAAGGCACCGCCGGTACAAACAGTCAAGCTACCTTCCATTATCTAGTAGAAAAAAATTCTGGGGATGGGAGAGCTCCGTTTACGGCCTCGGAGTCCGGGCAGGAGCTAGGAACTACGAGTTGGGATGTACCTCTAATCTAACTCTTGGTGACGAGTTACTTCCTTTCCCCTCCTTCAGTCCCCTCTTCTAGCGTGTTTTCGACCTCAAATGCCTGTTAGAGTCTGCCATCACATCCATATTTTCCATGTCGTGTCAAAGTCCTCCGCGGAAGTGCATGTCTTGTTGGATAGGTACTGAGATACCTACCTACCGACTAGGTAGGCAATCTCATATCGAAACATTGAGTAGCAGCAAAGGTACCTAATGAACTGGCACAAACATCTGTCTCTTTCAGGGGTCTTGGCAATGCTTTACCAGATGTAATATATTCATCTCTGTGTATCTTAGAAGCCAACTATTTGATATAAGAAGAGAAGGTATTCTCAAAAAGACTAATTTTAGTGCGGGTTTTATAACAACCAACAAGACCTTTTCTTGGATCCTCTTGTTTTTCTCAACGATCCATATCAAAGCGATCTCAGCGCATATTAGCGCCCCTTAGGGTATCAGAAAAGTCGACCGCTGGAAGCATACGAGACGAAATTAGTAGGTCACTTTATGCTCCTTAGGCTATAGTTTTTAGACTATTTATTTTTATACCCTAAGACTTGGGAGGCCAACTTTTCTGCTACCAACTAGGCGCCTAAATAAAGCAAATCCAACGGGCCCGACAATGACAATACCGAAGGTTTACAACAGTACGTAAACTGACCGATTTCCTTAGGCACTTGTCTGTAAGCTCCGAGCAAGGTGGGTTCCATATCATATCATATTACTAACAACCTACGAGTGAGCCAGATGAGGACAATCATATATGTCTCATAACTGCCGAAAGTGAAGCTACATCAGTAGGTAGGTAGGTATCTGTACTTTGGTAGAGATAAACGTCCAGTGATTCCGAGAATAAGCAAGGCTTCCTCTCACAGCGGTGTCCAGATTGGCTAACATCCTCCTGAATCTTGACTTCTGTTATGATTCAACAATCAGCAACTGACCCTCCTTCTAAAGGCATAATGTCACAGGAGACGAAGGAAGTACTAGCTCGAACAGATAACTTATGACTAGCCAGCCATACGTACATGCTTCTACAAGGGTTTGCTCACCCTCCTGGCAGCTAAGAAGCGCACACGAAGTACGGGGGAGTAGTTAAAGCCTGGCTGTCATGATGCTACCCAACCCATGGACCAGGGCATTAAACATACAGTGCGGTCCGCTAGTTCCGAATACAGACTCCGAAATTAAGTTATCAATCAGTAACGGGATCCGTTTTCTGTGCCTAATCAATCAGTCCCTTCCCAAGTTTGACTTCGCTAATATTACTCCATTATAGCTGCTAGTCTTTGCCTGACTAGTTAGTACCTGTTACTCTGTGTTCCTTAGCGATCACTGTTACTGGAGGTTCGTCTCATTCCCGCTTATTTAACGAGGAAGCCTTGGCTAAAAGAGCATTAATTCACCACCACTCCTTTCTCCTGGTCTTTGGCTGTGTCTAAATAAGCCAAGCCCATCTTATAACACTCCCAGCTGATCGTCATCACATTGATACCAGTTTATTGTGACTGTTCACACCTAGCTGGGTCATAACTAGAAGGATACTGATTTTCCATTCTCTCGGCAGTTCCTGTTAGGGGTCTCATGGCATTAGTTATCGACCAAAGACAACATGATGCCGACGTCGGCGCCTTCAGTTCACGTCAGATCTGGCGTCCTTCTGCAGCACATGTCGCACCTCGGAATTACAGCTCCGAGCCTGGTAAAGTTGGCACAGTCAAGTGACCAGTGAAGAATTTACATCGATAACAAACACTTGAGTGCCCGTGATAACTCTGTTGCAAATGTGAACATGGCAAATTCAACCAAGTCCATTCTATGAATTTGTTGCGCTGGGCTGAAAGAAATAGCTAGCAATGAATGACAACCAATCTAAGAAGAACAAACGCCGGTTAGATTTCGCCTCCGTCCTAGGAGGGTCATGGTATTGGGAGAAATGACTGATAGCATGCGCCTTGACACCAATGTCATCCACCATCCAAAATTGAACAAAACCAAACACGAAAATGCTGTATCTCATACCATTCCGCCGCCTCGTCGGGGACGTTGAGTTTGTTGAAGTTGGTATATCAAACCCAACACACCTGCTTCGGGATCTTCAGTATTGGCAGCACTGTTCTCCCGAGTCACGCCTCTTGCTGGAGAGGTCTCCCATACCGATTCACCCAGCGCGCCTCCTGGCTCATACAGTTCATCATCTTCCCCGCTTCGCCTGATGGCACTGGCTTCAGTCTCTTCGATAATTTGGCTCTCCCCCCGATACCCTCGTGGATACCTTGATGCATACAGACTCCGTGCGACCATATTGCCCCCGGAGGGTTGATGATGCTGATCAAGCAGCATAGACGCCATTGGAGAAGGTTGTGGCATAACCCCGATACGTGGGCCGCGTCCACCAGGGGCTCGGCTTCTGGCACGTCCCGTCTCCGTCCCTGTTCGGCCAACATGAGAGCCCTGCATATCTGCCGCCAATGTTGGGGAACCGAGTCCAGGGAATGACGGTGGAGGATGAAATGATGGTTTTGGTCCTGGGGGAAGGTGACCAGGAATACCAGTCTTAGGGTTTGCTGCGTAGTTATCGAGGAAGCCGTAGTAAGATGCCGCCATCTTCCCATGCTTTGTGGAGTAATAGTCCTCGCGGACATCTGGTCGAGGCCCTTGTGGTCCGGTATTACCAGGACCTTTTTGGAAGTCGAACACCGCAAACGAACAAACATAGCCGAGTCCATCAACATGAATTGTGAATTCCCGGAAGAAATCAACAATCTGATCACTACATCTAGGAAGTGAGAATAGAAGTAGCATGGGCGTCGTGATTATCCCCATCATCTCCTCCAGAAATATGACCACTTTCATCTTGTAAAGTTCCGAAAACTCCTGCTTCACCTCAGCACTATGGAGTTTGTTTTTCCAGTGGTCCGGCACGTAGCGTGTGTATTCGATGACATTCCGCAGTGCGTATTCTGGATTGAATACCAGTGTTTCCTCGGACACCATGCCGCGAGTCGTCGCCCAAATAGCAGCAAATACGCCGAGATAGAAGATTACAGGCCTGTCTTTGGTAATTTCAAAATTGAGGAAAAGCTCCGAATCGAGAACAGAGCCAATTGCCAGGATGGCAGTGATAGCACCCGACATGAAGGCTATAGTTCGGGCGACTGCTTCTGTGATTCTTTTCGGAAACTGGTCAATATATCGAGTTGCGAATGGATACGACATGTGCAGCCGCTCGTAGAATATGTGTGGCAACTCGTTAAATTGGCGAAACTTCCATTCTGCCAAAGACGTGTATTTACGCGCCGCAGCTTGTTTGGGGTCCTTTTGGTATTCCTGTTACAGGTTAGCTTTACCGAGAATCACCAAGAGGTTATTTACTAACATAGTAATATGTGAAGAAGTAGACGATGACAACGTATGCGAGCACAACTGGCGCAAACAAGAGATTGAGAAAACCTGCAAATAAAAAGCGCTGTCTCAACTTCTGACTCAGTAGATGTCTACGATCAGGGCGCAGAAAGTCTTGCTGGACCTGCCCGAGCTCGTTAAAGGCCATGTCGAGGATACAATATTGCAGATACCATTCCATAGTCTTTGAGAACATTTGACGGCCACGAAGGAAAGGCAACGGCAAGGACAGATCCAAGATATCCTTGTTGATCATCGCTATGAGGTAGTTCTCCTTGCGCATGAGACGATTGGCAATGTCAAGTGCGTCAAGCCGTTCCTTAGATTGGCTACCCATGAATTGTCGCAGTCTTGGGGAGATGTTTGTTGCGGTTTTCGGGTTCTCCTCACGGAGTGCCATGATACGGGCTACAACGTCCTGCCAGGAGATAGTTTGCATGTCTTGTTCCGGAATGTCAAGGAGATAGATGTAAAAGTCTCTGATGTAGATGAGACGGCGTATCTCTACAAAGTACTGAACACATTTCCAGATGAAGAAAAATGTGTAGAGCCAGATCGCAAAGTTCCATAGTCCAGACATTTTGCGAGTGCATTGCGGAACGATAACTTCATGCAAGGACCTACTATTGGGGACTCTTGAATAGTCAATGCACTGGCTGAGAAAAGTGAGTATCACGGCGACAAAAAGGGTTTCGCTTTATTACAAATTAGCGCTTAACTCATTTCAACGTCGGAACTTGACAAACTTACAAAAGCCATAGAGCGTTGGCACAAAGAATGCACCAGAGACCTCCGCCCTCGAAATAGTCGTAAACGTCACGCATGAAGCTGTCCAAATTGGAGGTGTTGACCCATCGCCACATTGCTTTCTCCCTCGGGTTGTTCGACATAGTCCCTCTGGCAAATGGTATTGGCCGTGGTCCTATTGATTCATTATATGGGTCGTCCTGATGGAGTTGTTGTTGTGTGGTTACCGCTTCCCATTGGGCCCTTGTTCGTGCAGATGACGGACCTGTACTTGCTGGAGTCTGTGAGTTTCTAGGATTGGTTGCTCGTTTGCTGGGAGTTGATATAGGCTGGTCTACATCTTTCGGTTCCATCAGTAGCGATGCGGGTACCTCGTTGTCTCCTTCGTCATCTTGTTGCCATCGCGGTGATGTTCTTCCAGGACTTCGGACGTGGGCTGTTGATCGAAATGTGGCTTTCCCTTTCCTTTTCGAACCCAGTGCTGCACTCTCGACCGTCATGCGACTGTCGCCGATATCCAACCCTTCGGTTTGAAAGTCATCAAACCTATGACCAAGGTTTTCCTCATCGAGACCGGGATCATACTCAGGGTCTTCCGCAGAGCGTAGTTGTCGGTAAAATGACTGTGACCCCCTCGAAGGGGACTTTATCCGGGAGAACATATTTGAAGTCATCGCATATCGGTAGGCTCGATCAAATATGGATACGGGTGGGCATTTCGGACCACTGTCGAGATTTGATGACAATAGAGAGTGTCAAGGCGAGCTTCGTGTTGCAGGAGAATAACGAGGGCCGATATGGTTACTAGCCAGACTTTGTATGGGTTCAAAGCTTCTGGCTCAGTGGAATCAAAACTGAAATCAAAATTAATCCTGAAAGTTTGGTCAGTTCGAATATAAAGATTGCTCGGTTGGTCACAAGGGGGGGGGGGGCACGATAAGCGTGACTTGGAGCACATGCCTACCCGGAGTAACGGACAGACTTGACTCAAGCAAATCCAATACCAGATGAATGGAAATATCGGTTAACGCACTTACTGTGTATGAAATGCAACCGGAACTGGCTATGCGGCCAACTAGTTGACAAGAAAACGGCCAAGACACTTTGTATTCATATATGTATGCTTTGGCTTAATGGTCCAGGCATCACCAGCCGCAGGTATGACGCTACAGAGCGGTGTAAGGTTCTGCCAGACAAATGCCGATAAGATCCCCAGAATCCACGATTGGTCATCCACCGCCTACCCTTTCTATCTAGTAGGTACTAAGGCACTCACGACACCGTTGCACTCGTGGAGTACTCCGTATCGCCCGTCTTATTAGGTACCCATGTTTGAACGTGACAACTGTTTACCATCACATCAACAATTGATCTTGAAATCATATCGTTCATTCGAAATTTAATTAACTTCAACTCATGAGCTTGTATGAAATGGAATAGTTCTTGTCACAGCCAGAAGTTGCCAGTACTTCAATATTCGAATCCCGTTCACAATGGCTTCTTCACACCACTCCCCATCATTTAGGAGCCTTCCTTCAAGAGACAATGCCAGTTCCGGCACTTCTTTGACGGATAGCTACCCACAGTCCCCAGCTACACCTAAAGGTCTCGCGTCTCTCACGTCCAAAGTTACCAGTGTTCTCTCGACCACACATTCCGATGCTGAGTTTCGGGACGCACTGTCCCTTCTTGATGAACGTGGGATTCGCAACGACGCCGAAAGTCGCCGGCGTGTCCGCTTGGACTTGCAAAGAGAGGTTATTGATAGCAACGGTGAGGTCATTGCCGAATTTGGGCGTGTAGCAGAGGTGCGTTTTTTGTGTCATTTAGAGGAATTTATACCAACGCGGATATAGCAACTTAGGCGGATCAAAACAACTATCGACAAACTCAACAATGGGTACGAAACAATGAAAAGCCAAGTCGTTGAGGCTCACAGACAGACATTGCCGGCACTCTCTGAGTCATCTTCTCTACTAGAGCAGAAACGACAGGTCGAGGTCAAGCAGCACCTTCTTGGAGCTTTCAGGAAACATTTCATTATGTCTGACAATGAAGTCGCTGCCTTGACACAGACAGCCGAACCGGTAGATGACCTCTTTTTTAATGCATTGAGCAAAGCGAAAAAGATCAGTAAGGACTGCGAAATCCTACTCGGTTTTGAAAAACAGACACTAGGACTGGAGCTTATGGAGCAAATGTCGAAGAACATCAACCTCGGCTTCCAGAAACTTTACAAGTGGATTCAGCGAGAGTTCAAGACCTTGAATCTTGAAAATCCGCAAATGAACTCGTCGATCCGCAGGGCGCTTCGGGTTCTTGCTGAGCGGCCATCACTGTTCCAGAACTGTCTCGATTTCTTTTCCGAGGCGCGGGAAAGAATCCTTTCAGACTCGTTCTACACTGCGCTGACTGGTACCTCGCCATCGGGAGCTGAGGATCCGTCTGTCAAACCAATCGATATGCTGGCACATGACCCGTTGCGCTATGTTGGAGACATGCTAGCCTGGATCCATTCGGCTACAGTTAGCGAACGTGAGGCATTGGAAATTCTTTTCGTCGCAGAGGGGGAGGAACTGGCCAAGGGGCTCAAGTCTGGACGAGATGCCGAGATATGGCGTCTTGTTGCCGAAGACGACGAAGCCGAAGCCGACTTTAATGCACTTAAAGCACTGAATGATCTGGTAGATCGCGACATATCTGGCGCCGCTCGTGTTCTTCGTCAACGGATGGAGCAGGTAATTCAGGCCAATGAGGACACCATACCGGCCTACAGACTGGCAAACCTCATCAACTTTTACCGCATTACTTTTCAAAAAACCCTTGGTCCCAACTCTAACCTAGTAGACCTAATCGGAGGATTGGAGACTGAAGCACTGAGACAATTCCGAGCCTTGGTAAGAGACCGCATCGCAACTTTACAGGGTGAATTTCAACATGCTCCGTCCGACCTTGGCCCACCCGGTTTTCTACAGGACTCGCTTAAACAATTCAAGGCTATAGCTAAAACCTATGACTCTTCGTTATCTGCTTCGGAAGATCGTGAAGGCGAGTTCGAGAATGTGTTGGCAGAGGCTTTCGAACCATTCATGGCTGGCTGTGAGAACATGATCAAAAATATGAACACACAGAATGGCGGAATCTTCCTCATCAATTGCCTGTCTTTGGCAGTGGCATGTCTAGAACCATTCGAATTTACGCAACAGAGGACCAAGCAGCTGCGTGAGAAATCAGGTGAGCAGGCTAAAGAGCTTGTTGCCAGTCAGTACCAATTCTTTCGAAAGGGCTCGGGACTGGATGCTATCTTTTCGAAATTGGAGGACGATGACAAAAGTGCCACAGCCTTGGATGAGAAAGCTCTGTCTCAGGCAAGCCATATGTTGGACGACTTTCTCCCATCAGCACTTATGGATGCTATGGAGAATCTGAAACATCTCCAGGACTCTAAATTAGCACGACAAATTACTGAGGAGGCGGCTGAGCAATTCTGCAACGACTTTGAGCAGCTAGAGGAGGCCATAACGGAGGGAGATGGTGAATCCGTGGACTCGGGAGAAGACGAGGGGCTGCGGTCCATTTTCCCCAGGACAACGGCAGAAATCCGCGTCCTACTCTCTTGAGTTAGAGAGATTAGATACCTAGGTTTGACATCTGAAACGGGTCAATGTCACCAAAGACATATGCAGATCTGTACACCTACACGACATAAAAGTCGGAGTGTCATGATGTACAACATAGATGGACCGTGAATAAAACATATGTGTTGTGTGACCGACTCCTCGAATCATTATGGCTGGCTTGTAAATTTCTCTTGTGGTCAACGCTTAGGTTACTGAGCCTCATCAACAGCTGACTTGTAGGTGTTGACACTACTAAGACGTGAGGCTGCGCGGACCAGCCTGTCTACCCCGCCACCATAGATTGCTACAAGGGTAGGTGATGCTAGCCTGGACTACGTCACCGCCTACCCGAGTGGAGTTTATCTGTCATTCCATGTCCGGCCAGGCACGCGGGACGATCTACTTCATCACGAGCAACAACCGTCAATAAGGGGACCCTTCTGATAATCGACCACAAATACAATCTCTCTTCACGGTACGGAATCAATCATATCATCAATCGTGAATACCTGTACGAAGAAACCTAGTTGCTCGGTGTATCCACCCGTATCTCAGCAGAACCTGCTCGCCCAAACGAACAGCATCGCGACCATCTTAAACAGTCGGCGGACTTGAGCGCACCTCGTGCCAGCTTCTGGGCTACTATGGTAGTGGCCTATCGCCGGAGCCATGTTACGGAACAGGGCCCTGGCTGTTTTGCAGAAGACTTACGATGATAGCTATTTGAGTTGCTCGACTGCCATCTATTACGAAGGCCAGGTAAGGTCGAACTGTTGCGCTTACATCAATCAAAGACTAACCACCAATGCGCCTAACAGGGAAGCGAGGCTGAAGCAATGCGACACTGGAGAGCTGCGCTGGATCAGATATACGATTACAATGCAAACCGTGCGCCTCCTTCATACAGTCCACGTACAGATACAGAGAAGGCGTTACAGGAAGCCCTTAAACAACTTGAACTACAATGCAAAGAACGAATAGATCTTCTCGAGGCTCTCAGAGTATCACGACAAGAAGATTTGACGCCGCCATCAGGCAAATTGACAAAACGTCCCAGTCTACCTGAGGGAAGGGGCTCTTTAGGACAGGGCACAATCACTGCCATGCAATACTCCGAGCTATCAAGACCATCCCTTCCGCATCGCCCATCACAGCCCCGTCGTACATCTTCAGAGCTTGCAATAGTCGATGGACCCAGCACACATCTCGATCCAAACCTCCCAGCCCTACCGCGATCTGCTTCACCTGGAGGACCTACCCTGCCTCCCAGACCGAACAAGACATTGCGAACACCGAGTCCAGAAAAGTACACTATGCGAACCACTTTGCGCTCTGGGAAACCAGGCGAAAAGTCCACCAAGCCGCGTAAACCATCCAAGCCTCTCGCCGAAGGGTCGAGCAAGGCGGCTACCTTGGCGTGGAGCGCTTTGGGCTCGAGAGACAGATTTGTGCGAGGCAGTCAATCGGAATCTACTCCAGCTACTGCGAGCCCCAGCTCCCGTACTTCACTTGAACAAACTCGAAGACCAGCACCAACACAATGGGATAGTCACTCGCGACGACTTGTTGTGCCTAGAGACCGCGATTTTGATGGAGATGTATCGGGAAATTCACGGCACTCTGACGAGTACTACTATGCTCGCCCATCAATGCTATCAGTGTCTGCTGCTTCCAGCGCTCTTAATTCCTCCTCATACCAGGACTTGCCTTCCTCGGACGTCTATACCACTAGAAATGAGCGGCCAACAAACTCCTACAACGCAATCACCTCGCTATCGCCCCGCAAAGTATCTAGGCAAGAGGCAACCAATGATATGGAGACTGCTGATGATTCTGGGGAGGGGTCAGAGAGGAGAAGTGCTTCCAACAATCTGCCGACTAGAACCACAGCATTGAGGCCGCCAGCAAGGTCTCCGAAGCCTTCGAAGGCAAATACCGAAATCAGAGATCGCTCACGACGACGTAGTCGTAAAACCCAACAAGCCTCGGTCTCTAGTACATCCGATGATGATACAAATCGGACTGGGCCAAAACCACGCCGTGTTAAAGCAAAGGAAGCTCCCATTCAAGCTGGTTCGGAAGTTGAAAACTCGGAAGTATCCGAATCTGAAAAGAGCCCTGATGACTTGACCGAATGGAATAATAAAAAGAAGCAAATACTTAAAAATTTGACCCCAGGAGTTGACTCGGCGGCCGCCAAACAGATCCTGAATGATATTGTTATTCAAGGTGATGAGGTTCGTTGGAATGACGTGGCCGGTCTTGATATAGCAAAAAATGCCCTTCGCGAGACTGTCGTATATCCATTCTTGCGGCCTGATCTTTTCATGGGTCTTAGAGAACCAGCCAGAGGTATGTTGCTGTTCGGGCCACCAGGAACAGGAAAGACAATGCTCGCGAGAGCTGTGGCAACAGAATCCAAATCGACCTTTTTCTCAATTTCTGCTAGCAGTCTGACAAGCAAATACTTGGGAGAGTCGGAAAAGCTAGTGCGAGCTTTATTTGGTTTGGCACGAACATTGGCGCCCAGTATCATCTTTGTTGATGAGATTGATTCACTATTGTCGCAAAGATCAGGCTCAGGTGAGCATGAGGCTACCATGAGAATCAAGACGGAGTTCCTCATTCAATGGAGTGATCTTCAACGGGCAGCTGCTGGAAGAGAAACGAGTGAGAAGGACAAGGAGAGAGGAGATGCCAACCGAGTTCTTGTTCTAGCAGCGACAAATCTCCCTTGGGCTATTGACGAGGCAGCCAGAAGGCGGTTTGTACGACGACAATATATCCCATTGCCCGAACCGACTACTCGCGAGACGCAACTCCGGACTTTGCTGGGCCAGCAAAAGCACGACCTGTCAAATGAGGATATCCTTAAATTGGTGGAAATGACGGATGGTAGGCAGCTTTGAACACAAGCAAAAGGACAACCCCACTAACCAACATCTACAGGCTTTTCAGGCTCGGATATCACAGCATTAGCTAAGGACGCGGCCATGGGACCGTTGCGATCTCTCGGAGAAGCATTATTACATATGACAATGGATGAGATTCGACCAATCCAGTTGCTTGATTTTGAAGCAAGTTTAACAACAATCAGACCCAGTGTCAGCAAAACTGGCTTGAAGGAATATGAGGATTGGGCGCAAGAGTTTGGCGAACGCGGTGGATAGATTGGAACGTGTCTTTGTATACAGTACATGATCATGAGGCATGGGTATGTTATACACGCAGGAGCATCACAAAACATGGCCCGGTAGTAGACATCGGAGTCTGGGTATTAGGGTTGTAAACCGGCTAGATGTACAGTATGTCATTTTATATGTTACAAATGGTAGTTAGTTCGAAAGCCTTTGTTTCGCTGCGCAACTCTCCTCAATATATCGTACAGAGCTTGACCGTTTGCGCGGCCGGCATGTTCTATCGCCGTGTAGGAACCGTCGAACATTATCCGTTCCGATTTCCCAATCAGAGATAGTTGTGGTCATGTGTTGTGATGTAAATATTTAGGTGATTCAGTCCACATCGTTCGTCGAGGTGTCCGGTTTGTGTTTTTGTTGGGCCTCCTTCCAAGCCTTACGCTTGGCCTCCTTCTTTTCAGTTTCCAATCGCTTTTCTTCTCGTCTTTTGTTCTCCTCTTCTTGTCGTCTGGCTGCCCTCCGCTCATCCTTAGCAGCCTTCTTGGCCTCATAATCCGCTATCCTTTCCTCCAGTGTGGGTACAGGCGGACGCTCGCTGGTAGGAACACCGTAAGGTGCAATAATGTCTTTGATAACGTGGCGCTTGTGCTGGGAAGTTGGCCATCCAGGGGCGATAGAAACGACATCGCCTGTTCGTAGGGACGAGTTCGGATCGTGGACTAGATAGTGTTTAGGGTCGGCGAACCACTGGAAAAATCGGTCAGTAATTTATGTTTGTTTTCTTAGGTTGTGTCAAACAGGGCCTCTCACCTTATTGACGGTCTTATTCCACTTCTGGCCGCCTACTCGAACCTTGACAGTCTTTTCCATAAGGCCAGCAGAGACGACAACGCCTCGAAGCTCGGTCGTGACGCGGCGAGCGGCCTTGGCGACTGGTGAAGACATGATGCCGATGCTTCTCCTCTTGGGCTAATTATCAACTCGAATGTTTGGCAGGCACAAAGCGTCGCCAATTCGCCAATCGAACGTCGTCTTGGAAGTGATGCTCAAATGTTCAGTTCCCAGCTCGCAAAGGCTGATCCAAAAAAAAGCGGCAGCCAATCAAGTCTGGTGTTGGTATGGGAAAGTGCTTATGTAAGATACTTGGGAATATAGGCTCCTCCCATTGGGTCAGAGAACCTCACACGACTCACGATATCCTCACACGTGCAAGATCTGAATGAATGCTACTCAAGTTGTAATACTAATGAACAGGTGATAACGCAGAAAAAGGGCTCAATGCCTTCAGATAAATTTAATATCCCCGTGAGTATCCCGTGCATACTGATAAATGTATTTTAAATTCTCATCATGTACAGAGTTTGAAGTGAATGTTCATGCTCCGAAGCCCGTCCGTATATCGGGGTGCCGGGACCCGCAGGCCGTAGCGTGGATATCGGAAGATGTGGGGGGCAGGATTACAAAATTTGGCTTGGCCTGAGGGTTCAACACCTTGTCAGTTCAATTAAACCGTGTCAGTACCGCCCGCCGCTTTTTTTCTTTAGACGAAATTTAATCCTTGCCAACCTACTTACTAATTTCCCTTCTTCCCTTGTACGCGACAAACATCCATCTTCCCGAAAACAAACTCAAACACTATCGTCTGGCAATTGACCGTCTCGTGCTCACTGATCCATACTGTGGCTTGCCTAAGACAAACTCGAGCTACCAACATCAAAGCTTTCCAAACCCCCACTTCCTGTTGATTTTTTCTCTCTCTTCATCATGTCCTCGCCCGAGCGTCGAACTGCTGGAGTCAAGCGACCTCGTAAGAACTAAGAACACTCATTATCTGCCATATCTCCAGCGCGGCCGTTGACATGTCGGAATCTCTAGGCACTCAGTCTCTTCCTCCCCCCTCGCTTCCTCAGCTGGTTGCCGAGCAGAGCACCCCCATCCCCCCAACGGATAAGGACTCTCAGCGTCTGATTGTTGTCTTGTCCAATGCCAGTCTTGAGACCTACAAGGCGTCTCACGGCGGTACCAGCCGCAATCGTGAGGACAAGTATTCTCTGCTCAACAGCGATGAGCACATTGGTGTCATGCGTAAGATGAATCGGGACATTAGCGATGCGCGTCCCGACATCACCCATCAGGTTTCAACTCTGAACCCTTGAGTCGGCATTCAACATGCTGACCTTTCTCTTAGTGTCTACTTACCCTCCTGGATTCTCCCATCAACAAGGCTGGCAAACTCCAGATCTACATCCATACCGCCAAGGGCGTCCTGATTGAGGTTTCTCCCTCAGTCCGCATTCCCCGAACGTTCAAGCGTTTTGCCGGTCTCATGGTGCAGCTTCTGCACCGCCTGTCTATCCGCTCCACCAACTCCAACGAGAAGCTGCTTCGCGTGATTCAGAACCCCATCACTGACCACCTGCCGCCCAACTGTCGCAAAGTTACGCTGAGTTTCGATGCACCACTTGTCAAGGTTCGTGAGTGGGTCGAATCTTCGAATTCCAAGGACAGCATCTGCGTTTTCGTTGGTGCGATGGCCAAGGGTGAGGATAACTTCGCCGACTCTCTTGTGGATGAGAAGATTTCTATCAGCAACTTCTCTCTGTCCGCCAGTGTTGCTTGTAGCAAGTTCTGCCACGCTGCTGAAGATGTTTGGGACATTATGTAATGTCCACCCATCCCAAGTGGCGTCGGCAAGAAACCGAAGCTGCGACGAACGCCAAGCGCCGGCTCGCCCAACGATGATACAACATCGTCGCTGGGAGCAAGACGGTTCGGTGGTAACTTGGAATGCCTGGGGTGTTCGCTGTCGCTTGTTTTTGCAACCAAAACATGGGGCGTTCAACATCGGGTCCAAGACGTGAATGTCGTCTTGATGGGTCTCTTCAACATGATCCACACTTTCCTCTTTGTTCTTTCTTTTCTGTTGCTCAGCGAGTCTGCTCTGTTTTGCCCCTTAGCAATTAAGGGCCATGTTGCCCAATTTTATCCTGGATCGGACATGCTTACGCCTAGTCCTACCGATCTAACCAAGGAGCATCTTGTGAAATGGGCACCATCACAGGTCATGTTTGTGGCGAGTTCGAGGGATGTGGACGGACAGACAAGTCGCTCGACAGTTCAAAGGCAATCAATATGTTTATGAGGGAGGATAATGGGATGTAAGGTATTCCATAATAGGTAGCGAATAAGTGGATATGCATGTGTCACCAAACAGGCTCTGTGCTTTTACTAAACGACGCTTTCAGGGCTAAGGCCACCAAGTACAAAAAAACCGCTGTAGCCGCGAATACGCATGAGGCTAAAATGGGTCGGAGTAGCACCAAATCACCCCGCAGGAGCTCCATTGGTCTCCTGTGTGTCCAAAATTACCAACAGCAGGAAGAATGAATCCAAGTGAAGCGACGGATAGATGGACACATGGCAGGCGTGGAGACTGGCAGGCGGGTCACAAAACACCGACCATAAGAAACGAAATTAGTAGATCGATTTAAGCTCCTTAGACCGTAGTTCTTAGGTTACTTATTTTTGTAGCCTAGGACTTAGGGAAGCCAACTCTTCTGCTACCCGCTAAGGGCACTCTTTAGAATGTGCTGAAGATGCTTTGGAGTGTGTTTTTTTTTGTGACCCGCCCGACTGGGCTAGATTCAGGTATGCCAACAGCACTCACCCACATCCATCGCCAAGATAGATCGCTTTGTCAACATTACGGGTCACCAAAAGCACCAAACATGTTTCTTGGGTAATGAGACTTATATGGTAACGTGATTGATAGTACTGAGTTGTGCTTATCTCCTTCATTCTTATGATGATGGTTAGGATTTCCAAATGCATCTTGAACAAAAAAAGAAGTGTCATTATGGATGCGTCGAAGGATCGAAGTATGAGAGAAACTTCAGCAGACGAAAAAGTCGGCCAGGAGGTTGGTTGTGAGTTTGGGTCAAGTCTGAGGTCTGGGGCTAGGCGGCACTGGCAAATTACAAACGCAAAGTCTACTGCGTCTATATGTATGCTTCACGCTGTGCGTTCCACGAGACCTGGTTACCATAAAATATTGCATTGCCATTTCTTCAAGTGTTATTCCAGGTAGATAGTTACATCAATGTTGATGGATGATGCAGGAGTGAGGACGTGATCTCAAGGTACTAGGGTATCTACAGAGTATGAAATATGAGAAGCTTGATAAGGCATGAGAGCTGGAGCCCGGGGGGGCCGGTGCAGGCCGGGGGGGGGGGCTGGGTACCGGTGGAGGACGGTGGATCAAGCCGACGTCCGTGAGTCCAGCCGCTGGGCTTGACGTGGTCACGCATCGGTGGCCGGGAGTCATTAAGCCAATACAGTATCCACGAGCTATTCTCCGATGATCGTACAGTGCAGTAGAGGACGTAGAAAGCATAACCATGACAGCACACTATCTTGCTAAAGAGTATGGTACATATTCCTAGATGCCCAAAGTGAGACTCTATTGAACCGTGTCGTATCGAATAGTTAGTTGGTCGACAGGACAGAGCTCAAGAGCTGGTTTGGAGTCCATTCCAGTCTGGCCATTTGGACTACCTACCTACTACCTACTTGGAAGGTACTAGGAGGTAGGTACAAAATTGCTGCCCATTTATCGCACCATGTTCCATAACTCCCACCTTCTGCCTGCAGGTATGGACAAGTCGTTGCCAGGATGGCACATGACGGTTTCCACAAGATATCTGGATGTATAGCATATTATTCGCATTCAAGTTATAGAGAAGGTTTTGAGTTTATCACCACCAACTCCGGACAACTTGCCCTCGTAAATTGGTCTTAATTGATAAACACATACAGTAGATTCGCTACCTACTATTCTTGATCATCAGCTACCTTAGTAGGTGCCCTCTACTACAGGTGGCTGGCTAGTGGCCACCTGCCTCACGTTTGGTTCAGATTTTGGAGGTTTCAGGGATGATCATGAGCGGGTGCTGCCGGATGGCGCGGGGCTAGTGGACCTACCCTTGACCCAAGACAAGACAAGAATGCGGGTACGCTCTGTGCCTAACTTGACTCTCACAGACGTCCAAGTACCGCTAGAGATGCACAAATACTGTACAATTCTAGGGTAATTACCTTGATACATGCCTGCCTCTTCAAGCTCATAACTCACAGCACATAAAGCTCTACCTGCCCGTGTTAAATCCAGGTCTTGTGGCAGCTGTGATTTTATTCAGCGTATAATACGACGTGATTTAAGCAACAAATGCCCGTCGCACCAAATGAAGAGGAAGATGGTATTGAATACATTACACACAAATACATAAATACTCCTATGTTTGTTAACCATTGACTCCTCATGGCTAGGCTGGGTCTGGGAGGGTCAGATGTTGACGAGTCACAGAGCCACAGTCACAAGAGGTGCAGGGCTGGGCTATTCACTCGTTATGAGACGAAGCGGGAGGGTTGGCTGAGACAAGACACCTGAGCCATCAGGAGTAAGACTGAAATCCTCCTAGAGGCATAGAGGACTGAGTTGTATAGAAGTTAGTACCTATATACTAGACTAGGTAGGCATTTAACGTAGTATCTCAGCCAGTGTCTGCTACGATGTCGGTAGGTAGATATTACCTAGTCTCGATTAAGAGCCCACCATCAAAACACCTCTATTTTGAGGGTACTACCTGGCTGGTCTTTTCTCTTTAGCTGCATCTTCCTTTTCTTCTTTCTTCCTTGCTGCTCCAATTACCCTCAGCATACATTGAAACAGCGTCGCCTACGTTACTGGCCTTTCCTCAAGCACCTTGTATTTTCATTTATTGTCCGTCCAGTATCCTAGCCTCAGGGACTCTTTCTTCGCATTGACTCATCCATCGGCAATCACGAGGATTATTTGTGGTTTCGGGTAGCAATCGATCTTGGTGCGCCCTTGAGTATCTTGTATCTTGAACCTGGGTATTCCATCTTATCAACATAAATTGGGCGTCAAGGTGTTCCGAGCAACAAAGCCAACAGCTAGCAAGCAAGCAATTGACCGACTAGGGAGCAAACAACTCACCACCCGACTTTTGTTAGGCCACTCCAGAATACGGACCCATTCGATTGCTCCCGTCCTCCTTTTCGCACGACACTACGGATACCTCACCTTACCTTGCCTTACCTTAGCTCGCCAACTCACTTACCTCATCTCGTCTCAGTCAGGCTCAAGCTATCAGGGCACCGAATCGGATACTCTACGCCTTGGTCCTTGCCTTGGTCGCCTCTCAATCCCTACCATTTCATTCTCGACCGCCTTCTCTCATCCACTCCGCCACCTCACCTGGCCAACATTTTGCTTGCCTTGCTGTACTTGTTAATATCTCTGGGATCATTCTTCTTTACATCCTTTCCCTTCCGACTTGTTGTCTTTTCCCCCTTCCTCTTCTTCTCTCTCTCTCTCTCTCTTCTTTCAATTGCCCCTTCTAAAAATTGGGGTTATCGTTTTAGTTGCTCCTCAGCTATCTACTACCTACTAAGATACTTTTGTTTCATCATTACTCATCATCAGTCTTTGACCGATATTCCAGTCTCCCCACTAGCCCCCGCCTCTCTTTCACACGCGCTGCTCGGCCAGTCAAGCACGAGCTGAGTATCTACTTTCTTTCTGAGTTTTTGGGGTTCTTACAAGACTCCAAAATCATTCGGCCAAGGCATCCGAGCGGGTACCTCACAGCAGGCAGCCGATCGGGCGCTCCTGGCGACTAAACGGGCTCTATAAGAGACCATGACTGTACCGTTTGTTGAGGTGTCGCACCTGGCATCATCCTCGTCTTTCTACTCAGCCACACTTCAAATATTGGGCCTGCGATACCTGAATGAATCTCGCGATCCAAGTTCATCGATCGGAACAGTCACTTACGGACTTACAGCTGGTGTCACCAAGACTGGAGGCAAACATCGCCAAGCCTTGACCGACGGGCGAGGAGAGGAAATAAAAGGGCCTCAGCCAGTGCTTCAGATTCGGGAGGTGTCTCGCCCTTTCGCCCCTGTCAGGATTTCCACGGTTGTCATTGCGGTACCAGCCCCAGGACAGATCGTTGACTTCTACGAGGCCGCTCTCACCGCGAATCCGTGGCTGGCCATTCAGACCGATGGTGACCCAGTCTACCCCGGCGGCCCCAGCCCCAGACCTCGTCTAGGCATCGATGGCGGTGAACCCCCAAGGCGAGCAACAGTACGTGACCTTGATGGCAACACTATCCAGGTCGTCTATCGTCAGCCTACATGTCCCCGAGATTATTACGGTCGAGTAATCGAATGGACCTATGACGGTGCTACTCATTCGACTTATACGACTACAACCCATATCACTCGTAAAACAACACATACCAGGAACCGCTCCTTGTCACAGCCACAGCTACAACCTGTCGCTTCCGCTCGTTCGTCCTCCTCTTCTATTGATGGGCTTCCACCCTTTCAGCCCCGTCAGTCTCCCGCCAAACACGGTCCTAACACCGTCACAGCTGCCGAGATGGCCCAACGTGCCGCCGCTCGCCCCGAGAAGGAAGACGAACCAGTATCCGTTTCGCCTCGACAGAGCTCCAATAATAACGGCCTCAGCACCACTACGGTCGTGGGTGCCATTCTAGGAGTCGCCGCTGCCGGTGCAGCTCTTACATACGGCTTTGCAAGCCACGCCGCTAAGGAACGAGAACGAAAACCAAGACA